ACCAAAAAAGTCAAAGTGACTTATTTCCACGTGGGTGGGTAGGAGGGGGGGAAGGCAGCATGGGTTTGTGCAAACATAACAACGTGTGTAGACTATCTAGGATAACCCAAAAAAAGTCAAAGTGATTTATTTCCATGGTGGTGGTGGGGAAGACAGTGTGGGTAATGAGGAAGACAGTGTGGGTAGTGGGGAAGACAGTGTGGATAGTGGGGAAGACAGTGTGGGTAGTGGGGAAGACAGTGTGGATAGTGGGGAAGACAGTGTGGGTAGTGGGGAAGGCTGAATAGGTTTGTGTAAACATAGCAACATATGTGTAGACTACCTAGGATAACCCAAAAAAGTCAGACAAAGTGATTTATTTCCATGTGGGTGGTGGGGAAGATGGCATGGGTGGTGAGGAAGACAGTGTGGGTAGTGGGGAAGGGAACATGGGTTTGTGTAAACATAGCAGCGTATGTGTAGATTACCTAGGATAACCCCAAAAAGTGAGACGTGACTTATTTCCATGTGGGTGTTGGGGAAGACGGCATGGGTGTTGGGGAAGACGGCATGGGTGTTGGGGAAGATGGCATGGGTGTTGGGGAAGACGGCATGGGTGGTGGGGAAGGCAGTGTGGGTAGTGGAGAAGACGGTGTAGGTAGTGGGGGAGGCAGTGTGGGTAGTGGGGAAGGTAGTGTGGGTAGCGGGGAAGGCAGTATGGATAGTTGGGAAGGCAGTATGGGTAGTGGGGGAGGCAGTGTGGATAGTGGGGAAGGCAGTGTGGGTGGTGGGGAAGGCAGTGTGGGTGGTGGGGAAGGCAGTGTGGGTGAAGTGGAAGACAGTGTGGGTAGTGGGGAAGGCTATGTTGCCGCAAGCAGTTCACTTTGTCAACTTCATGCCTCTATATCTCGGTAAGTACTGATCGCAATTTTTTTTTTTGTTCTATAACACTCAGAAAAATATTCTTAAGATTTTGGGAAAGAAAAAATAATTTTTTTTTTCAAATATTTTTCGACACAGTGAGTTAGTTAACCCTTTGACTGTCAGTGTCGTACATGTACATCTTACAAGCCAGTGTTTTTGATGTAATATGCCAAAATTCTAGCGGCTTCAAATCAAGCAGGAGAAAGCTGGCAACCCACATGTGAGAGAATGGGTCTTGTGTGGTCAGTGTGTGCAGTATAAAAAAAAAAAAATCCTGCAGCACACAGTGCATAATGAGAGAAAAAAAAACTACGACCGTGTTTTTGGCTTAAAACACCAACTTTTTTTTTTTTTTTTCAACAAGTCGGCCGTCTCCCACCGAGGCAGGGTGACCCAAAAAAGAAAGAAAATCCCCAAAAAGAAAATACTTTCATCATCATTCAACACTTTCACCACACTCGCACATTATCACTGTTTTTGCAGAGGTGCTCAGAATACAACAGTCTAGAAGCATACACATATAAAGATACACAACATATCCCTCCAAACTGCCAATATCCCAAACCCCTCCTTTAAAGTGCAGGCATTGTACTTCCCATTTCCAGGACTCAAGTCCGACTATATGAAAATAACCGGTTTCCCTGAATCCCTTCACTAAATATTACCCTGCTCACACTCCAACAGATCGTCAGGTCCCAAGTACCATTCGTCTCCATTCACTCCTATCTAACACGCTCATGCACGCTTGCTGGAAGTCCAAGCCCCTTGCCCACAAAACCTCCTTTACCCCCTCTCTCCAACCCTTTCGAGGACGACCCCTACCCCGCCTTCCTTCCCCTATAGATTTATATGCTTTCCATGTCATTCTACTTTGATCCATTCTCTCTAAATGACCAAACCACCTCAACAACCCCTCTTCTGCCCTCTGACTAATACTTTTATTAACTCCACACCTTCTCCTAATTTCCAAACACCAACTATGAGGTGTATTTTCATGTAGTATTTAGGGTTGTATTCTCGTTTTCCTGGTCTCATTTGAAAGAACTGAAGATATACTACAGGAATAGAGATGATTTTGATTGGTTTCACAATGAAAAGGACCTTGAAATTGAGCACAAAGTAGCGGAAATGTTCGATTTTTGCCGAAGTTCAAGAGTAAACAAATGATGTCATTGTCCAATAAGTGTCCAACTAGCCATTCTAATATGCAGTCATGAATGGGTTGACATTATTTATACAATTAGTATTACAATAATGCAGTAGTCTGCGTAACAGTAAATCTTCTATTTTTTTGTGTGAATAAAAATTCAAAATAGAAAGCAAGAGTAATATAAGAGGAGCCTGGAGACGTGACTGATGAACAGAAAAAAAATGTTATTTTAGTGTCAGGAATGTCTGCATTGTTTATTCTGGATCCTATTTTGAAATTGGCATCTTTTTTAATTTGCGTGAAACTGGACAATTTGCCAATTTCTGACCACTTTATTGGGTGGCTGAAATATAATAAATGGAGTTTTAAAGAAATAGCTACGAGTTTGGTTGACGGGAACAATGGAATTGGCTGAAAATAGGGCTCAAAGTGGGCAAAATCACCGATGCATATATATATAGCTGAGATTACTAACTTCACGAGAGCATAATTCCATAAGTTTTCTATGAAATTTCTTACTTTTCGTGTCATTACCATCGGGAAAAGCTTCTCTATCATTTCATAAAAAATAATTGTTTTTTTTTTTCCCGAATATTTTGTGACAGAGAGACTTCAGGATTTAGGGGTCTCGATAGTCAAAGGGTTAAGGACCAGGGATCTCGACACTGAAAGGGTTAATAATAATAATAATAATAACAGTAATACATAATAATAATAATCACTCTTGGGCACATTAAATGCCTTATTTTACATTAAAATAGACATTTTCATTAATCCATCTATGATATTTTCTTCAAATTTATATAAGAAATGTTACATAGCATATAAACATGATACATACACTCAAAGTACAATAAGTTTCACATAAATATAAGACGCAGTACCGGGCGGAGGAAAAGAATTTCATCTTTTTGGTCCAGCACCAGAGAAAATGTGTATCAATGCACGTTTAATGCATTCAGGTTTATTTACAAATGTCGGCATGATTTCTCATCACTTCTCTGTCATTTATGATGCATCTAAGGGTAGTTGTTAGAAATGATTAAACTCAGCAAACAAGGTATGCCGATGGTAATAATACTATCGCTCTGGGGCACTTTAAATATCGCATATTACGTGTAGGTGTGGTAGCCAGGCGGCTACGTAGCTACACCTACACCTGACTTCCTACAAACAAATATTACTCTCCTCTCACCCTACATTAAGACTATACATATTTTAAGGTAAGTAATGTGTGTACTGTATGTGTATTTTATTGCTCTGGGCTGCTTTAACCCTTTCAGGGTCCAAGGCCCAAATCTGGAGTCACGCACCAGTGTCCAAGAATTTAAAAAAAAAAAAATTTGTTATTTTTTCTTATGAAATCGTAGAGAATCTTTTTGTGAAGGTAATAAAACAAAAAGTACGAAATTTGGTGGAAAACTGACGAAATTATGCTCTCGCGAATTTTGATGTGTCAGCGATATTTACGAATCGGCAATTTTGCCGACTTTGACTCCCATTTTAGGCCAATTACATTATTCCAATCAACCAAATTCTTAGCCATTTCACTAGTATTACTTCTATTCTATCGATTGAGCACAAGAAATCACCAAGTCAACTGTTTCAACTACAAAATAAAGTGATCAGAAATTGTTAATTTGGCCAATTTAACACAAAGTTCAAAATATTCCAATTTCAAAATAGGGTCCAGAATGAACAATGTAGGCATTCCTGGCACTAAACTAACATTTCCTCTGTTTATTAGTTATGTTTTGAGGCTTTACAAATAAATTCCATTTTGATTTTTTATTCACATAATGAATTTTTATTCACACCAAAAAATAGAAGATTTACTGTTATGCAATACTGTAATAATTGTATAAATATCATCACCATATTTGTGAATGTATATTAGACCCACCAGCTGACGTGTATTAGACGTGTGAGGTCGTTTGTTTACTCTTGAATATCGGCAAAAATTTAACATTTCTGCTACTTTGAGCTCAGTTTCAAGCCATTTCCAGAGCTAAAACCAATCAAAATCATCTCTATTTCTGTAATATGTCTTCCATTCTATCAAATGAGACCAAGAAATCGCAAATACAACTATAAAAAACATACTAAAAAACACTGCAAAGTTGCTGTTTTAATCGAAAAATCATGATTTCATTTTTTTTCTCTCATTATACACAGTGTGCTGCAGGATCTGTTTTATGTGGTGCACACATACCACATAGATGTATTCTCTCATATCTAGGCCCAAATGTACCACTCACAGTTTATCAGAGTGAGCTGAGCTCATGGCGTAGATCTACGGTTTGGACCCTGAACGTAAAGCCGTAGATCTACGGGACGGACCCTGAAAGGGTTAAATATCATACCTACCTACACCTGACTACCTACAAATAAATACTACTCACCTCTTGCTCTACATCAAGACTATACATATTTTAAGGTAAGTAATGAACGTACTGTGTATGCATTTTACTCTATTTTTTTTAATGCCTAGTTTTAGTGTTAGCTTAATATATGTTAATGTAAACTTGTTATCTGGCATTTGTAAGTGGAAAAAATGGCACTCTGCTTTCTGGCGATGTCCACTTTCCGGCAGTAGCCCGTAACCTAACCTGCCATACAAGTGGGGCCCTACTGTACATAGATATCACTTGATAAAAGTACTACTGTAATAATCAGGGCAATTGAAATAACCTCTATTGTCTATGACTGTAAAGTCAGCCACTGTGGAATTGCCCATATTCACATCTTTACTAGACAGGACATTTATCCTTCATTAAAAAAATATACAAACTTTATTATGCAGTACTATTATGCAAAACCTCTCTTATAAAAAATAAATAAGTTATTAAAAAAGTTCAATTACTCAAAATGAGACCTCAGCAGTCCTTTTTCATTTAATCATATCAATAAGGATGTAGAGTCTGAATACCAGCCACAGAACACTTAC